ATGCTGGGGCTGCTCCCAATCCTGCGTTGCTGGCACAGGCCAGAGACCACGGGAGATGATTTTGCTGTAAGATGAAACATTAACAAACCCAAAGCAACTCAGCAGAGCTGCTAGCTTCACCACACTGACAGAATTACAAACCTTTTCAAGAAATGTATGCAAATGCAGTTCCGAGAAATGAGGAAGAGAGTACTGATTTTTCCAAACACACTTCATGGAATAAAGTTCTGCTAAATGAAGGTTTTATTTCCATCCTCCACTCTGTACTTCTATACTTTGAAGAAGCTCATGCAATTGTCTACTGACCTGTGTGGAGATCTCAAACATCATTTTTCAAATCCTGAACCAAAACAGAAACCCCAAGGAATTCAACTGTTCTGTTCACCTACTTTAAATTTCTCCTGTGCACTTACATTTAAAGAATCCAAAACAAGTCTTGCAGCTGCAGGAAAATCAGGCTTTAACTACTAAATTTTTTTATAAACATTTTTTTTTATATTTCCAAAATAACTCTAAGTAGTTTATAAATATTCTCATGCCGCTTAACTGGTGATTTTGTTAAGGAATGATAGAAAGAAAACCCACAGAACAAAAATTAGTGTAGATCTTTGGCATTCCATGATCAGATGGTTAGAAGTCCCATCTAACTTAATCAAAAATAGGAACACTCCATTACCAGGATACATAGACACCACCGTCCCCCTGGGAACAAAACCTCTGGTAACAAAGACTCCAGTTCCAGCAGACACCAGCGAACTCCGGTCTCTGCTAACAGTGAACCCAAGAGTGTTGAACAAAACCTCCTCAGGACTAAACACATGCTGACCCTGATGGTTACAAGAGTTTACTTCTGATTGCTTCTGCTCCACAGAAAGTAATTCTAGATATTGACACTTGACTTCTGGAAGTAAGGCCAGAATATCTGCTTGTCGACTAAAGTCATTAATGAACAGAGCTTTAAATGTTTTCAGTAGTGTTTCAAAGACGTCTTCATCAGCAATAATTTTGTCTTGAGAGCTTTCAGGAACATATCGAAGGGTCCTGTAAAGAAAATAAAATATTTTAAAATTAGAAACATATATTACTTTTTTTTTCTAAGTAGAGAAGAGCCATTTTGCAGCACCCAGTAACTTCAATACACTGTTTTTTTTAGAAAACCCCAAGCTTTGTTCATGCTTGTTCAAGCTAAAGCCACTGTTCCTAAAACACTGAAAAAGACTGTTTAATAAAAACTAGTACTTATTCTACTATAAATCCTCATCTCTGAGTATTTACCACAAGTACGTTAAACCTTACTGAGCTCTCAGTGGAAAAAGCACTGAAAATAAAACATAATTATAATAATATTTATTTTAAAAACAAAGAGCTCATTACACTTTAAATTAAGCAAAAAAAATATTGCATGGGCAAGGAAGGTTTTAATTTAGTTGCTTATTTTAATTTTGCTACTTATAACCATGTCATAATAACTTAAATTCAAACACTACTTTTACGATGGCATAGACATCTTACCAAGAAGGAATTATTTATCTTATCATATCATCCATCTATCTTTCTATCTACCTACCTACCTACCTACAACTTTAAACACCATTTTAAGGTGCCTAAGAATTTAATGACAGCCGAGGGGCGACCAAAGCACTTCTGAGTGAGCTCCTGCGGCGCCCCAGACCATCCCGATGAGGGGCAGCGGGGTCTGGGCTGGCGCCCGGGGTCTTTCCCCGCGCCTCACCTGCGCTGGCGGCGGAGGTTGAGGGCGAGCCAGGGCACGAAGCGGTACTTGTAGGAGCGCCAGCGCCGCCGCAGCTCCCGCAGCATGGCGGCCTCTCCCTCACGGCCCCGGCACCGCCCCGCTGCCGCGCCGCGCCCGCGCAAACTGGAACAGCCAATCCGCGCCCCGGACACACGCCGGCGCGTTTGTGTCGTGAGCTGCCATTGGCTGCGAGCGGCAGGTGGGGCGGTGAGCGGCGGGCGGGCCGTGAGGGGCAGCCCCGGGGCCGGGGATGAGGGCGGCTCTCGCTCTGCGTCTAATGAGGCGCGGTACCCAGGGTGGGGAGACCTGCAGGCACCGGGAATGAAAACGTATAGATCTGGGTGCACACTTACAGACGGAAATACACACGGTTCTCTCGGAACAATGTTACGTTGCACCTTCTGTGTTATACTGAACAATCCGAAAAGACAAAATCAGATGAAAAGGTGGTTTAAAAATAATCCAGAAGCGGCCGTTGAAGACCACTCCTTACACTGTCAGAGCACCTCTCCAAAATCATCCAGTGCCTGCTTCCAGCGATTCTAAGGGCTGTTAGTGCCTGATAGTCATCACAGAACGAATTAGGCTGGAAAAGAGCTCTCAGATCGAGTCCAACCTATCTCCTAATACCACTGTGAGGATCGTTGTTCAATTTTCCCTTGAACACCTCCATGGACCGTGACTCCACCACCTCTCCGGGCAGCTCTTTCCAATGTCTTATCATCCTCCCTGTCAAGAAATTCCTCCTAATATCCAACCTGAACCTCCCTCAAAGCAGTTTAAGGCCACATCCTCACATCCTGTTTCCCGGGAGAAGAGGCCGACCCGCACCTGGCTCGAAGCTCCTCTCAGGCAGGTCACCTCCGAACTTCTTTTTTTCCAGGCTGAGCCCATCCCCACCCCCACCTGAGCTCCCTCAGCTGCTCCTCCTAAGACTTGTCCTCCAGAGTTGTGATCCATGTCATAAAATGAGCGGCTCAGTTATAGACCTGAGCCTCGTTACATTTCTGTCCACACTTTTAGCTAGTACGTGGCTGTGGTCACAAGGAGACATGAGTTGTACTTTGTAGCATCATAAGCTACTGTAGATTTAAAGGTGCTTCCCACTGACTGATGTACAGCAAGCAGCAGCATCAAAGTACACAGATTGAAGTGATATACTACAAATCACAAGCATTTACAAACAGGGGCATAAACCCTTTCGGTGCCACATTCTGCCATCACTTATCTCTAAGGTAATTTAAAAAAATGTAGGAAGGAAAACAATAATTCAGCAATTGGTCTTCAAAAATTAGCAGTGGCCCCCAAACCATTCTCTACAAACCACCACTGATGTAAAGATAAGAGTACTGTTACAATTTTTGGCCACTGTTGTCCGTTGGCTGCTTGGATACCTAGTTTCATAAAAATTTTATCTTTGGATGCTGCTCTTTATCTTCAGTTTTAGTTTAACACTGCCAATGAACTGGGACAAAAAAAAAAACATGTATGCATGTATTTTACTTTATTCAGAAAGCAGTTTTAAAAATATGGAGCTTTTGAGAATTGGTTTTGGACTAAACAGAGAAATCAGACCTCAAAACACTCTAAGGGGTTACACTCCTTCCTCTGGACCTGAAATTTTGACAAGGGTTTTGGAAATTTGAGACAGGCTCATCAAAGCAAGTAACTATCAGAATTAACTTACCATCTCAGAGCTTTACAAATGTTTAAAGTTGTGCCTTGATTTATTCCATAATCACTTCAATTCCACTGTTGGCCTGCCTCATCTTTTCCAAGAACAGGAGCTGAGGGAAGGGCTAGTGCAAACTGAAGAAACTGAAGGAAAATGCAGGAAAAGGCACAGTGGCCGCTGCAAAGTGCTTCCCTGCCATCTCCTGGCCTTCCTCGGTAATTACAGAAGAAAGGTCTTCGAGACTTGCAACTCGGGTTTCAGCAGCCGTGTGCTATAACCACAAAACAAGATACACGGTCACCACATCACATGCATGTTGTGGCTTTTAAAAGTAAGGCAGTCACAGCGGGATTCGGATTACTAAGGAAGACTAAGCAATGAGTGAAAAGTTAGTAAGGGAAATAGCTTTAGGAGGTGGGCTGTTAGGTCACAACAGCCATTCACACAAGTTGCCCACTTCCACGTGATGAAAGGACATACGTGACATTCCAACATGTTCTGGAGGCAGTCCTTAGCCTCAAGGGAGAACTTGCAAAGATGAAACACCACCAGACCTTCAACCTATGACCAACATGCAGAAATGTGATTTTATTCCCACCGGAGAAGTCACACCAGGCACAGAGCTTTCCCTTGGCCTGTGGAAGAATGTGCCCTGTGCACATACTTGGTTCCCTAAATAGGTGTCTTTGAAATTCACTGCCGTCTGCTGGGCACCAGTCACCTCTGCCATCCCTCGTTCCTGAAAAGGAGGCTGCAACAGCACCAGTAGGACACAGTACTGCAGGATTCAGAACTTCTATAGTAAATCAGATAAAGATACATTATAGTAAGTTTGTCTCCTACTAAATCCTTGCCATGTATTTTCCTTTCTGACATTTCAGGGAGTACATTTTTCTGATTTGAGAAATTAGGTATTAGAATTTATTTGAAGATTTCTGCTGCCAGTTTTTTCTCAATTATGCACTTGTACCTATCTGCAGAAAGCATCCTACCTAATAAAAATAATAAAAAGTGCAGTCCTTCCAAATACAAAATTTATAGTCATAAGAAAGCCTATAGTTGAAATCTATTTCCATAAAAAAATTATTAATTTTTAAATTTCCAAAATATCTGGAGAAAGACAAGAACTGAAACAAGCCCTAGCTTTGCAATATATGGATTGCCTGGATGATAAAAGGCTGATGTTTGCAATTAAAATCTCAAGCAACAGAATGATTTCACCAGAAACACAAAACAGATTGACTTCCAACACACGCTTCAATGGCTCCAGAACTGGCCCAACGAGCTCACTTGAATAGATAATTGTTACCTTTGCAGTAATGCAAAATTTAGACAATTTCTGGCTTAAAGGCATAATCAAGTGAGATTTGTAGATACCAGTGCTGTCATAAGAGAAGTTCCTTTCTTCATCAGGAATTTAAAAAAATTAGTCTTTGTTGCTGCCCTTTATTAGAAAATAAGTCTTGATATATCAAGTGTATGAAATTGTGTATAAACAATGAAGTGTACCAGAAATATTTTATTTCCATCAGTAAAAGGAATGTGTTTGTCTTACAGTAAGCAAAGGACAAAGCTTGTTCAAAAACTTTTATTTACTATAAAGACAAAAACCACCAAAATACGTACAAATTATACTATATAAAATTGGTTCAATGGGGTAAAAACTTTTAATTAAAATATCTTGATATATTTAAAATAACAAAGGATACAATGAAGCCAAATTTCTTAACCCAGAGATTTCTGTAAAATTTGCTTGCACAGTAAGGTGCTAATAGAAGTTAGCCCTTAAGCCCTGGAAGTCTTAGGAATCAGTCACATAGCAAATATAATTTCATTGTGAAAGTGAACTTTGGTAGAAGAAACTCTATAGGACACCTGAGGTAGTAGAAACTGGAATAAACAGCAGTAGACGTTATTTACAACTTAAGTACCAAATAACATTAAGAACACAAAAATAATTACACAATACAATTTTCAGTCCAGCTTTGATCCAAAGAAAATAAGAATATTACATCACATCTCCATTTTAAAAACACCACAATTACCAGCAAGCCAAGGGAAATGCAAACTCAAACAAATGCATTTGGACACCTAAGAGGCAGTTTGAGTTTGAAATGTGGTAGGCATGGTGATCTACATAGTAATACTGATTAGCTGAGGTTCATCAGTTTATACAGTTTACATTTCTGCCAGAAACAGTATTAATCTGAAAACTGATCTTCCAGTACATGAATTGGCAAGAGTGCATCCTTTAAAGCTTGCACATAGGAAAGACTTGGAAACAATCTTATTAGAATGAGAAATTCTAAAGTGGTCAAAAAAAAGTCAAGTACAAAACAGAGCTACCAAACTTCACATTTCGGTATTATCTTTTTAACTCTTCAAAGTCTGCCAATCTTCAAAAACAAAGGAATGTAAAATTTCCAAAAGAAACACATTCACAACTAATGACATGGTTTGTTTTTTTTTTTTATTAGTATGAGCACTATCATTCATGTAAACGTATCTTTAAAGATGTCTTGCTTCCAATTTGTATTATACACTTTTAAGGTACTATAGCTTATTTAGCTTGTCCTGAGTCTTTGAAAATAACCAATTCTATTTGAGTCCAACAATCCAACTGGCTTCTGAAGAGTTATAACACGAACAGTAATTTTTTTCAAAATGGATTAAACACAATCATTATTAGATTAAAAAAGATCCCCATTTTTAAAAAAGCAAAAGAAAAAGCTGCCATTTTCCTTCAGAATTACATGCATCAGAATCTAAAAACCTGCCTTTAAAATAATTTTTAAAAACCGTTTAAAAAAAACCCCACATCTCCTAAAAACCAACAAGTTTTGCACTACAGGTGAAGCTTTACTTCACATTTTACTTTATCTGGATCTTCAAGTCCAAGTTTGTTTCTTGTTAAAATAAATACCTTTCTTATGGTAATATTTTTAACATTTTCAAATTAAATTACCACTAATGGCTACAGTAAATCGATGATGTACGGCAGAAGGAAAACAGCAGGTAAAACTTGTTATCAGTAGAGAATGTAACCTCAGTTTCTTTACACAAAGAATGAGATTCGCTCATTTGGCACCTGCTCACACTGAAGTACATGCCAAGGTCTCCCATAAAAACTTTAATGGAAGCTGGGTTTGGGGGGCCCTTGACATGAAACTTCTCTACACGATTTGCCAGAAGAAACAGCTATATGAAAAAAAAGGCTCAACAACTTCTAGCATGGTTCAGACTAAGTTACTTTATACAGAACAATCTTGTTTATTAAATAACCTATACTATCAGAGCCTTCAACATCCTTGTTGAAAGTGGCATTTTATCCCAGATTTCCAGCAAATCTGGTTTTAAAACTCTTGTGTCAGGAAAATATTCCTTGACACAGCTTGCATCTTTTTTTCTAAAGACTATTTTAAAATATCCCCTTTTCATGAAAGTTAAAAATACAAAGAAAAACTTTGATTTCAAAAGAAATTACATGGCCAGCAGTAAATGCACAGTGAACCATGAGTGCCTGCTCTTACTTTATAGGAAGGCAAATGCTTTTTTTAAAGTTTCCATCAATATTTGGATTTGTAACTCAGAGAGCAGACAGAATGTCCTTTTAACCAGTATTGAAAACTTACTAATTGCAGAGCATCTACATGTGAAATTGAACAGTGATTGCGATATTAAAATAGATCTTGAGCCTCTCAGCTTCTAATAGTGCTGAAAAAGTGCTCTAAATAAAATAAAAATCACTTACCTGCTAAATAATCATGCAGATTTAAGGAAAAATATTTTTATGTTAACATAGAGCCAGATGTTTGAAAAGGCACAGTTTACAAATCTCTGCATGAATTGTCAAATGTTGCATACTGAGCTTAGGTAAAGATCTTGATTTGTCAATCACATACTTAGGTAGGGTCCTCCACTGGCCTTATGCTCTTGATGTATCTATCATTAAGGCCAGCAGAATAATATAATTTGCTGCACGTAACTGCACTGCAAGACAGTTACTGTATATTCAGTAGCATTTTCTTCAGTATTTCAGCCTTACAAATAAGTAGCTACCATGTAGTACGGAAGACTGGGTGTTTCAGCAGCTCCCTTGAAGGTGGTCTGTCCTGAGGTTGAAGTTCTAAACACCGAAGAGTCACATCTTTCAAGCCCGGAGACAGATGTGTAGGGATTGATGGAGCAGTAGTTGCACTAGCAATCTGAACAAGGGGAAATAACTTTTTAGAAGTCAGTGATAATGCCTCCTCTCTTAGCCCAAAAACATTCTACAAACTGATATTTCAGCTGATGAATTTTTCTCCATTCAGCATGTTTCCTACTGCAGTTTGAAGATTACATTACTACTTTCAGTTTATTGTCCTTATGCCTATTGCTTTTTAATTTGACTCCCTCCTGATACTTTTCTCCAAAAGTTCTCCTCACAGCAAGATCTTGCAGTGACCATCTCAGAGCAGGCCACAGGAAAACCTCCTTCAGCACACATATGGACATTCTTTAGTCGCCTTCACTGTTAACTGGCATGAGACACCATAGAGAGAGATGAAGCTGAGCGATGTTACGCTACAACAAGTTACACTGGGTGTGCTTTCTTGCACTGCCTTTAGTGTATTTCTGCTACTACCCCAAAGGCAAATATTTCTCAGAAAGACACAGACCCCTCCCAATCAAATTAATTTTAATGTTATCTATCTGGATTAAAGCAGAATGACTGGGAACACTAGAGTGGCACCAGCAGATTCACAGCAATGCAGAACCAAGACAATTGCCTCTCTTAGCACAAGTGATTCTACTTAGAACATTTCTGAGTACTGCTGTGCAATGTCTGTTTTCTACAAACACTTCCTTTATTTGCAGCAGTATTTTCTTCATTTCTTCATTCATTCTTTGCTCATTTGGCACCTGCTCACACTGAAGTACATGCCAAGGTCTCCCATAAAAACTTTAATGGAAGCTGGGTTTGGGGGGCTCTTTAAAACTGGACCTTTAGAATTAAAATAATTAACTGATTTTAGTATAAAAAATGAATGCCAAGATGAATGATCTAGCAAGCAAAGGAAGGGGCAAAAATCATACATAGCATGGCATATTGGAAAATATCTTTCAGCAAAATCTGATTGTGAAACATTAGGCTTTTATAAAAGAACTTTCCCCACTGTGAAATATGAATACTTACACAAATGGTTTATGGAAAAAAGAGCTTCTGTATTTTACAGGATTGTAAGAAAAAGTTAACACCCCAGTCTTCTGCCTAATTTAAGATCAACTCTATTCCTAATTTTTTTTTTTTTTTAGCATGTTACACTATATTTTTATATCTTAGATCAGACATTTCTAAGCAACCTGGTCTAGTAGAAGGCGTCCCAGCACATGGTAGGGAAGGTAGAACTAGATTATCTATAAGGTCCTTTCCAACACAAACCATTCTATAATGATTTTGAATATCATGTATTAGTATCTCTTTTTTGGTATCAGTTTCTTTGTTGGTTTTTTTAAGAAGCAAGTATGATTATATTGGTACCAGTATTGCTTCTGTGCTAACAGCTCCAACATAAAAAAAAAAACCCAATTGCAACAACCCCTGCTACACACTTTTCTAAAATTCACATCGCTGTATACCAAGATTACTTGTCTTTTTTTGTAGTATATTGATAATAACAAAAAACCATACCTTAAATATCAGAGCAAGATGATTGGAGTGTTTCTCTGCATTCCAAGGAGGTTTAGCACAAGCCATTTCTATGACAACACAGCCAACGCTCCACACATCACAGCTCCTCCCATATTGCTGACCTCTCAGGACCTGAACAGACAGATACCAAAAATCAGATTATATAATTCAAAGTCTCTTAGCTCTAAGTCATTTAGAAGTAAACCTCAACACATCACCAAACAAGTGTATTCTGATTAACATTTCAGGCTAAGAGAATGACCAGTGATGTAAATGCCACAAGATTTACACAGGTCTAGAGATCTAGTAAATAAAATGCCTGACCAAGTGGCAAGCAAAGTACCTTGCAATGGCTAGTTTTTGAGCAAATGGTCATTTGGGCATTTGGGCATTGTGATAACAATATCTTGTACCAAACTGCTTGAAACAATGACAGCAAGAAAGAAATGTCATCATCGCCATGATCATTCCCAATCTTTAGAGCAAAGGCATTTAAAACACATTTGAAGCATATAAAGCAATTTTATGTTACTTGGCTATATGAATTCGCTTAAAGACTTCAAACAAACTTTTTGAAATAACTTTAAAAATTGGTTTCTTACCTCCGGTGCCATAAATGCAATAGTTCCCAACAACTGTCCCTGAAACTCCCCAGCACCAGTTCCTTTTGATGCCAACCTGGCTGCAGCTCCAAAATCAGCAATTCTTAATCTATGACCTGTGCTGTCAATTAGCAAATTGGCACCTGTCAACAGTAAAATAAAAAACCTACTAGTTGGCTTTCTATTACAGGGAAAAAGATGAACATTTTTGCTCTCTGCACCTCAAAATTATAAAACAGTTTGACATTCCCCACCTCAGTATCAAGGAAATCTAAAAATCAAGGATACGGTCTAATAACCTCACTTTTCATTATGCCTGAATGATACTGCACACAGCTTGAGGCTGTTCAAGAGATTTTGAGAGGCAATCAAATTTTCAAAGTAGGGCAAACACACAGGATTCTGGAACAATGCCTGGAGATGGTATAATGGAAGAAAATGGTTACCCAAAGTCCTGGAGGCTTTCATTGCCTGTAGCTCCCCATGAAATTTGAAGTTATTTCATGATCAAGCAACCCTGAGTTGCTTTAAAGAGGTTACAAACAATATAAAGTTTTACTGTTTCAAAAATTAGTAAAGACACATATGCCTTCAGTATGTTCTACTTATATTTATATGTCTCCAGTTCATGGACAGCTACAGTGACATTAAAGGGAAAAATTCAGTAAGACTGGTATTTCCCAGTTAAGTTCACATTTTACTCAGGGTGCAACTGTATTTATGTTCAACTAGGATGAAGTAAGAAAACTCATCACAGTGTCTCCACACATTAGAAATCTAGCCTCTTTATCTTGGTTTGTTCACAGATTTTACTATCATTTCAGCATAAACATTTACATTAATTTAAGAAGCAGTAGTTTTAAAACTGCATGGTAACTTTCTATCTTATTTTAACTAACCCAGACAATTTTTCTAAACTATTAGTACAGGTAGCAAATACGCACAAGCTTGCCACAAACATTTTGATTAATTTCAGTAGCATTTTGATTAATTTCAGTTACAGAGTTTCTTATAAATGATCCGACAATCCCAGTAGAAGTACCACTCCTGAGATGGTATCTGAGAGAACAAATAGATCTCAGGCCAAAACATATGCTGCTTTTTGAATACTCCTTCTAAAAGAATTTATCAGTTATTCTCACCTTTAACATCTCTATGGATTATCTGATTCTCATGGAGGTAAGAAAGGCCACGTAAAAGTTGTTCTGTGTAATTAATAATAACCGATTCTTTGAAGGCTCCATATTTACTTAACAAATGAGCAACTGAACCCCCTAAAAGACAAAACAATATATTCTATCAATACTTAACACATTCCATTAGTAGAGTGCAACACTGCATCCTAAAACTGGAACTTGATATTAGTATCTCTAAGTCATATTTCTCCCTCCTCTTCCTCCCAAAATTAAAATAATTTTGTAGGTAAAAAGTTATGTAGTTCATTCTTCAATTACTTTCTAAATTGAATTGTACATATTAAAGATGAAAGTCTTCGTGCTTCCTAATGATTTTATACTTCTTTAAAAACAACACTTTATCCACACTCCACATTAACATGTAAACAGGAGAACATTAACTATTTTTTGAGGCAATAGGCAATCTCCAGCAAGTATTCCCTTTAAATATTTTAATTTATGTTTGTTCTCATCCAATACATAGAACTATGCAGACAAGCAAGGAAAAGCAGTATCTTCCTCTATTTTCGAAAACTGGTAACAGATTCTCAAGAGTTTGGATTTCAAATTTTTCTCTCAGAGTATTGTAATATAGACTGGGCTTGAATGAGGTAAACACAATTCCTGACACTTAACTAGCTAAATAATAATATTTCAGAAAAAAATTACACTTAAAGGTTTAGCACTCTAAATTTTGAGAAAATATTTCTTGCACTACTTATTGTAATGACATATACTTGGGAGCTTTGCATGTTAGCACTCTGACAATAATTTAGGGTGCAATGCTTTCATTTACAGCAATTAAGGATGTATAAAACTGGACAGCAGCAAACATTCATAAAATTAATAAAACTACTTCTCAAAATAAAGACAGATTTTCTTGTCCCTACTCTACACATTTATGAAAACACTTCAGTTTTTTTTACTAGATTACCAGTTAAAAGGTTTAAGATTTGAATTAATTTTTCCAAAAGCACTACTTACTTCTTATTTGAAACTTACTTTAAATGTTCTTAAATACCTCTACACAATGCCTGACACAATCTTTATGAAAAATCTTGGGACACAGTGACAGGTATTCCAAACTTTCTAGGAAGTTATTTTTAATAATAACCCATAGCTACACAGATACACTGAAAATGCAACAGTTTGAGAGAGAGTAACTTCAGTTGGAAATAAATAAAAATTTAAAACTTCTCACTTGCAGTCAGAAATGGAAAGAAAAGTCAGGGTTTCCAACCAACTGTTTTAAGAGATTAGGTATGGAAAATTCCAAATCACAAAAGGATGCACCATTAAGAATATTGCTACAACCACTTCAGCTGTTCTGTAAGTAGACCTTTACACAGACTGCGAACACAGCAATGAAAATATAAATTCACAACCTCAAGCAACACTAGCAATACCACTAGCAAATACCATTTCAAGACTCAAATGTTATTTTCACCAGTTGTCAAATGTTATGTTCACCTGCCATCCATTCAATAAACAGGTTATAGTTGCTCTTCTCACATGTAGCACCCAACATTCGAATAATATTAGGATGGTTCAGATGACTCATCATCCTTATTTCTTCCCTCAGTGCTTCAACCACCTCTTCTTGCTCAGATGATGTGTTCCTGACATATGTCACCTGTTTTGAAATATGATATTATATAATTTATATAATATAAATATTACTAACTTAAGTACAAGTCCTGTAATTGTCTTTCAGTACAGCAGCAAGAAGAGGTTTTCACCCGCTGAAACTACTTTTTACTTCCAACCCCACCAGCTGAGAACCTATGTCCATGTGAGACAGTCACAGAAAATTAAGAGCCATCTTTTAGGGTACAAACAAAATCTTCTCCAAGTACAGAGTGGGGAAACATCCCTCTTTTCAACTCTGTTTAAACTAGGAAAAAGCCCTTGGTTTCCCAAAATTGAGAAAAACTAAGAAAGAAAAGGCCTGAAGTGGGATTCTGAATGTCCCTTATAAAATTTTACCAGTTAAATTATAAATGTTTCACAACTAAAGCTCTTACAGAAATTCAACCTGACAGATCAGAAGTAATGTAATTGGAGCCAATTTCAGCTGTGATCCATACCAAATATGACATACTGGTATGCTGCAGGGAATTTCTCCAGGCATCACCATCATCATCTCTCTGGGACCACATGGGAAGTCCCACTTGAAAAGAGTTTCAAAGGAGGAATAAATGACGGCACATACTCTTCCCTTGAGCAACTTCAAAACATTTTCTCTACCTCATAGGTGTAACTTCACTGTAGAACTGATAAGAGTGTTGGGACTAAAATGCCCCCTTATTTTGTTACTACTAATTCAGCCCTAGGGCAGCTCTAGTGTGAACACTTTACTCACACCTGAAACCTTCAGAAATCTGACTGAAGCATGTGCCTCTTCTCAGCCACAACTTCTGTATCTAATAATTTAAATAGTAAGATACTATTTATACTATATACTATACTAATATAGTATATAGTATAAATAAACTATATACTAATACTTGCCTCCAAGCTAGTTAGTTAGCAAAGTTGAATCACAAGATACAAACACTAAACTATATTTCCTCCATTTAAAGTCATAAGGAAAATATTCTTGACAAGTGAGGAGAAACTATTTAAAACAGCAACCTTGCAAATAGGGCATTCATTTGGAATCAATTATCTGGGCTCCATTCCTAACTCAGTCACCATTTTATGAACATGATAGAAATGAAAATGCACTTGAAGAACTATGGAAGAAAATGGGCATAGAACAGAGGACTTTTTTTCACTCTAAGAAGACTAAAAAAGCTTGTATATAAAGTTAATACATGCACATAAAGGTTTTTTAAATTATGTTTCATGTCAGAACACAGGACAGGGAAGAAGCAGGAACACAAGAGGTCTGAAAGAAAAAAACACAACAAAGTGAGGTACTTTCCTGAAGTATTTACCTGTTTTACAGCCATTAATGTCCCTGTTCCCACATCTTGAGCTTGGTAACAGGAAGAGAAAGCTCCAAGACCAATTTGTTGACCTTTAAGCCATTCTGCATCTTCTCTATAATGGTGTTTTGCTTTGGTATGTCCAGGCAGGGTTTCCGGTGTCTGCAAATTAAATTCAAAACCAATTCCAAGTTTACTAACATGCATCTAAAATACAGACATTCTGAAGTGTTAGAAAATATCCAAGTTTACATGCCTCTCCTCTCCCTTACACTTCCTTGAACAGCTAGGTACATACGTTCATATAGTTTATAGTTATATAGATGAGAGCACCAGAGCATTCTGTAACCCACATACTCTACTACATGAAACAGAGCTTCCTCTGTGTTACTACATGAAGGTGAAAGGCAAGATTAGAGGACACAAGTAAGAGCACAACTTTTTTTTCTATTCCTTGACTCACATTTAGTTAAGGCTTTAGCTTGTACCTACAGTAAACAGAACCAAAATTAGGTTGTTTTCTATTTAATTTATCCCTCCAATTTTATGCTTTACAGCCTGTTACCTCAAAGGATCACAAATAAGCTTAAGATAAGGCTTTAGCTTGCACCTACAGTAAATAGAACCAAAATCGGGTTGTTTTCTGTTAAATTTATCCCTCAAATTTTATGCTTTACATGTTGTTGCCTCAAAGGATCACAAATACAATAACCCTTTATTATTATTTCTTGTGCTTTTTGTCTATTCGCAAATATATATGTATTTTTTTCTGACTAATAAAGTATCTCTCATCTTCTCTCAAGACAGGATGACAAGATCTTTTCCCATTCTTTCTTTCAAAAATTAGTTTGGTTACGTACAATTGCCTTCAAAGTAAATCAGCATTAGGACTCAGTACAGTTCTACTCTTGCTTAAAATTTTTAGTTTTATTTCCTGGTTTCCTCAACTTTACACTTTCTTATTTGTCACTTTAAATGTTGATACATGATATAGTGCTTCTCTTGCAAACACCTTCTCTAGATTTTTTAATAACATGAAAGGATTCTGTTAGTACCCTCAAATTTATATCCAATTTCATATGAAAGGATATTGAGCACCTTCATGTTTTCTACACTTTTGAAATGTAACAGCACTGCTTTATCATTTCCATGACCCTCAGTTGAGACTTAAGCTAAATTCTCATACATATACTTACATCCTGCTGAATGATTATGATATCTTCACCATTTTCAACCTGTAGCTGGGGAATTACTGGCAAGGCATCTTGGGATGCTGACATTGCCATAGCAATAGCTAAAGCTTCCTCCTCCTCAGCTTCCATCTTTTCCTTGCATTTTTGATTATGATTTACATCATCTTTGTAAGTATCATCATTTTCTGCCCGCTCAGGAGAAAGAACTGCAACTTCAGACTTGAATGTGACTGTGCCATCACTCGTTGGCATGGAGGCCTCAAGCAGGTCCTCAATACTGGAATTGAGCTCTGCATTAACGTCCAGCCGGCACTTCTCATCTACTGGTGTGAACACTGTCTCTTCACTTGGTATAACTGCACTGCTATTGCCATCACACTGTGAAATATCATTCAGGTCAAGTGTCATACTGCTTTTTAAGGTTTCTCCTTGCTTATTCACATCACTCGGGGTGGGTCGTGATGGCTTTGGCCTATGTACATGACTGGATGGCAATGGCCTGGCTTGGGTGAAAACCGGAGAGAGTTTCTCAGATTCTTTATTTTCAGAACAGTTTCGCTGAAACTGGAGAGAAAGTTTCCGCTGTGTTTGAGGAGAAGGTGAAGGGATTTTGCAGGGAACAAATCCCTGAGGTCTGAGTTTAGAGATATCTGTTACAGTGCCAGCTGGTACAGATGTGTTTGATGGAGACAGAAGTGTTGGGAATAGTGACTGGGAATGACTGGATGAGGGAGAAGAGTTCCCACACTGACTGTGGGGTTTTCCTTTTGTTTGTATGGCTGGTTTTGGTTGCTCAGTGGTTACTGATGAAACAGGAAGTCCCATAGCAAGGCCAGCTAGCATCTCAGAAATGTCATCTGGACTGGCACTCAGTTTTCTGTCACTTAAACCTTTCCCACTTTTCCCTGATAACTGGACAGTATTATTCGGAGTATTATTTTCTGTAGTTTCTGGAGAGTTGTCTGGCACAGGTAGGTGTAAAAAGTCTTCATGTCGGCATTCCCCAGAGTGCATCTCTTCCATGCCCAGCTGAATGGCTTCTGCAATTTCCATTTCATCTGCTATTGCCATCAGACGTCGACGCATCCTTGCATAATGAGTTGAGCTTGTCACGCTCAACATATCTAACAGCTTTACAAAAATATGGGGCACTCTTGCTACCATTCTTGCTGCACTCAAAAATATTCTCCGTGACAGTTTGCCAACCATTGAGTGGGAATTGTCAATTGACTGCAAGGCGAAAGTTAAGAGGGAAAGAAGCTTCTTATACCTAAAAAAAGAAAAGTGGTCTTTTATAAATTGACATACTCTAGTTAACTAGTATCAAAAAAGCTGTTTCAAAACAATGTATTTAGTTGTCAGTTCTGAAGTAGGAAGGAGATTTATTGTTGCACTGGTGCTTCAAAAATGCTTCACAGGTCAGTTGTTTTTAAAAAGACAATTACTTACTCTGTAAAGCAAAAATACTTTGCATATAAACATATGTTATTTGTTTACAGGAATTAGAACAGTTACTTCTTTTATGAAATCACCTACAACAAATTCAACAACAAAGACTAAGATTTGTATAGAGTACAAGAAAGTACCTGTCAACTACGGTATCAGCCTGCAAGACATCTCCACAGACAATGTGAGGATAAAATTCACTAGGAAATTCCAACAGAAGTCTGTCTATTAGACAAAGTCGCCCCAGCAGTGCTTGCCAGTTGCTAGATTCAATTTCATTTCCAAGAATACAGTTTAAGACGTAATCAACACCTCCGATACCAATGGATCCTATAAAAAAGTTGATAAAATGAAGATTAGGTATTATGTTCAGAGTCTACACAAAGATCAGAACTGTATCATACAGAATTACTCATTGTTTGCCCAAATTAGCCCCCTTCCAAACTGTTGACAGGAATACTGTTCTCTTTGCTATGCTTGTACTTGATAAATTCCAGTATTATTTGCTTGTATAATTCACTTGCATATGAAGCTATTACCAGATTTAAGTATTTCTCTCCCAACTGCCAACTCGCCCGCTTGACCTTTACACATCTCCAATAGCGTTGAGACTGAAAGTTGACTTGTTCGACTGTAAGAAAGTAAAACCAAAAAAAGAACTCCTTTAGCAAATGCTTTCAAGGAAAAAGATCCTATTCATTATACTTAAAAAATCATCAGCAGTTATACTTAAAAAATCATCACCTAGGAATTATGTGTAAAATGATTTCACACCACCTATAACCCACTCTTTGTAAGCTTATCTTACAAAGGTAAGGTAAAGGTTGTGACATTTTCACAAAGATACTTCCAGAAATGTAATGTCTATCACTGATATGCAAACAAAACCTCAAATTACCTTGTTCTCTTGCCAAATGTAGCCAAATGCATAAAAACACTTCTATTTCACTTACTACTTTAACTTTAGATATTCTCTTGCTAGACTGTTGCTGGGGGGATCTCTAGCTGCAGTTTCAGAAAAAAATGCTGCTTAGAAACTAAGCCTTGAGAGACAAAACTCAAGCTGCTGGAGTTCTAGTTCATCTAGTTTACAGTACAGGAAAAGAAATGGTTGGCCTGGAAGAACGAAGAGGGTAGCCTAGGACAGGAAGACTCAAGCCAAGGGAGTTCACCCTAAATAGCTATCTCCTACCACTACAGTCTGAACTACGAATCAGAATTGTTATGTTACTGCTACTACTTCATGGCCAACATGTGTTACAACTTCTGCTGAAGCAGGAAGAATACTGAGGAGTACTTGCTCATAGCTCTAAGGAGAGTCATGAGAAATAGGCCAAAACAACAAAAACGGAGATGGGAGGGATGGGTTCATGCCTACACCTAACATCTTCCTGTACTTTAAGGGGGCAAAAAGCCCTTATGAAAACAAGCTATACAATCACTTGCCTGCAAAGCCTATATTTCAAGCCAGAAGTTTGCAAGCAGCAGTCAGGCTAGCAAAACAATGACATATATTTACAACCCACACATTTTATTTTAACACCAACTGGTTACACATGAATAGCAACAAATGAAGCTTAAAGGTATTTCGGTATTAATCCAAAATCAAGTACATGAGACATCATACCTGTTAGCATCTGCACATTTAACTAGTATTGTCTCTACAACTGGCTTGAGAAGTCGCTGTAGTTTAGTCCTCTCCGCCAAAGTATGACAGGGAGTGTACACCAGCATGGCTCTTAAAGTTTTCTAAGAGAAAGGGAAAAAAATACATATGAAATCCAACTAGCTACACAATTTTAATTTTTTTAAAGAGACCTAAATAAGCATTAAGGAGTTGTAAATTCAGTTCTACATAAATTGTGTTCAAAGCGTCAGTGAAATGTTTGAAGGATAAATAGCTTACTACATATTCACTGCTAAAACTGGTCAACTCCTCTTTGAGATTGACAAGACATACAAATACTGTCAATACTTAGCACTGTGGCAAGTGACAGTAAAATCATGTCCTTTCACTTATGATGAGTATCTTGATCACCCCACTTTCAAAGCATATTTAAAAGTCACCAGTGGTGCTTAACAAGTACTAGGATTCTTGATTTCACTCATCTTCTCCCATTTCCTCCTCCTTCTAAAATGAAGTAATGTGAAATTAGTAGAATACAACAAGTAAACAACTACTTACTAAAGCAGCAACATACACTTTGTAGACAGGGTCAGCACAGACCATGGACAGCACACTGCAGCAGGATTCTACCACCACATCTCCTGAGATACTGGTCTGAGACGACCCACTAGCTGCTCCCAGAGCTCCAGCACTTGTGTTGTTTCCATTGCTGCTTCCAGAGTTTCCAGTGCTTTCACCGTTAGCCAGTAACAGAGCACCACTAACATCATGGGAAAGACGTCTAAGTGCCATCTCTCGTATATTCCAGTTTCGAGAAAACAAGCAGCCAACTAGCTCCATCCCAAATACCTGCAAAGGAAGAAAGCAACATTACAGGAGTCAAAATTAATAATGCTGCAACTTAAGTACCTAACAAGAGCAACCAAAAAGAGGAAAGGTACTTCCTAGTTAAAAATCATCAAGGCAAAATATGTCCAAGGTATAGTGTATTACAAAAGATTCTGTGACAGAAATAAAACATCATCAATTAGATGCTACTTGGTTCTGTAAAAACTCTGTTAAGAGAATTTTAATTACTAAGCACGAAGTCAGTTTCAATACATTAACAGTCCTGAAAACAAGGTCTGGCTATACCAGACAAAAATAATGGCAGAAATAAAGGAAATGCAAGTTCTCATTTTTAAGTGTATTGACACCATGTTCAGCTGAACCCATATTCACACTCTAAAGTCTATTAGGTCATTCACAGAAGAGAATTACCTGAATCCATGGCTCAGCTGAATCTTTATATGTTGAAGGGATCTGCTGGACTCCATAATGAGTAAGGTTAAAATTGCTATCTTGAGTTCTTCTCTGTGATCCAACTGCTGACTGCTGCTGAGATTGTTGCTGAACCATACGAAGAACAGAAGCATCCACAGGGCTTGGCAATTCATGACTATAGATCAAGAACAACACAGATTACAAATTAAACATCTGAGGTAAATAATGCAAGATATTCAAAAATATCAATTAAAGATCCAGAAACAGATAGCTTATTGTACACCAACTGAATCCTCACCTATAGAAATCATGAGATCTCCATTTAGATCTACAGAGTGGACAGATGAGTGGCTCTCTGTTTCTTCTACATTCTTCTGCCCCTGGAATACAGCAACAGGATCATATGCACTGAAGTTTTATAGTGTACAAAACCAGAAGATGGAATAATTACTTTTAAGTTTTACTGAAGAACATTAGTTTCATAATTAATACTTTTGAACTGAGCAGCCTGAGCATTAAAATATGGATGCTTAAACTTTTTTTTTTCTGTGTAAAGAAATTACTCAACTTTAGTACTACAATTAATATTTTAATTTAGGAACTGAAATTCAGGTCCTTTTGTACCTCAAATATACACAAAATTTATTTGTTAATGCAAAATGCAAATATTTATATATTTTATTTGATGTATTATTGAAACATACTTCATAATTCATTATATAACCCTAGCTAGCTTTACATTACTTTTATGCATTCTAAAGACAACTCACAGGGAGTTGAAAGTCCGTTCCTAACCTTGTTCTAATTAGACATAGTGTTTTCACTCAGGTGAACCTCCAAACCTGCAGGCAACTTCTCTATCAGAGCATTGAATTACAAACTTGGTTTGTGAATAACTGATGAAATAAAGTATATCAATAGTACCTGAATGATACCAAATGTTCAGAGTTACCAGCCATCATTTACAAGCAGATCTGTTTTTTTTATTGAACATAAAACAAACAACTCAAAACCATACTGAGGTATAATACTTTTGCAGGTTTAGAGTCACCAGAACTTGACAAAACAAAGATAACATACATATTGACATGCAGTGGTGGTGTAATTTGTTTCTGCAGCCATCTTCACACACAGTTAGACTCTCCTCATCCAGCATGCCTAACAAACAAATGGGGCACATCTGCTCTTCTTCATCCTTCATACTACAAAAAAAGACATTTCTGATTGTAGAAGAGGCATATCAGAATTCAGAACATGCTTTAACAGTGAAAAAAGATTAACTTCCAGTTTGGAACAGTCACTTCTGGATAACTTTAGGCTATTCATGAATCATTCTCCTAAACCTTGGTCTGAGTAAGTAAGCAACCAGATTTTCAGAAGCACTAAGTACAGACAACACTTTGTTAAAATGAAAAGGAAAGTCACAAAACACATGACATCTTTTCAAACTAGGTCAGATACCAATTAGAGATTGAAAGGCTCAGCTTTGGGCACTTAACATTTTTTCCCTAAGGCTTCTTTAAACAAACCAACCTTCACTTTTTAATTTATCATTTGGGTTTGAAAACCCAAGGAATTCTTACAATTTGAAAACTACCCACATTCTTTTTCATCACATTCCTTTCAAAGTATGGAGTCACAAGGCAGTTTTTAGCCCTTTACAAGAAACTGTAAATACTCTTTGATGAACATATTAAAACTCAAAAATTAAACAACTACTCAAGAATTTTCTGCCACTAACAGAAACTGATGGAACAGATTCGCATAAACAGTAACATACATGTTATACCCAGATATTTAAAAAAATTATTTTCCCTTTTTTCCTGTTTGTTTAATTTTTATCCACTTTAATTTTTAAATGGACCACCATTTGCCAAAAAAACTCTTCTAAACTTAAACAACATGCAATGAAAAGCAGATTTTTAATCTACTGCAATATTATTTAAATGTGTAAAACTCTAAAAACTCATGGCAAAAAAAGTAAATTACAGTTGGCGTGCATCTAAAATTTTGCAGGCATCCTGCATTTATTCACCAACAATATATTTTCAAAATAAAATCAGCTTGTACATGCATTATTCCTATACACATGTATTCCTTTCTATTTCTCTGTAAATGCTTGCAAAGCTATTTATTCCTTGAAAGCTCCACCAAGTAAGCTTACAATTAAAAATAATTCTCCACATGTGCATGTATGTATGTATTAATTAGAAACTTATTTTTGACAAATTAGCAGTAAGCAAAACATAATTGCTAGTCACAGGAACTATCAGAACTGAGTAAACTTCCAACTCAAATGAATCTGATACTCAGTGTTATTCAATTCCTATATCATACAAATTTAGACTTGGACAGAACAGTAGCTTCTCTCATTCAATCGGTATTGCAGGGTGAATCAGTACCACCAGGTGTAGTGGCAAACAACTGAAAATCTTTCATCCTGTAATAAGTGATAACTAATGCAGCAAAGTTCACAATCCTGTGGAAAAAAAGTTCCTACAGAAAGCATTGACATAAAAGGAACTGGCTTGCCAGGTAAGTAGTTCCAGAGTAATTATATATATAACAACTTTGTTTATGCAACTTATTTACAGAGACACAGTTTGGAAAAATAAGTAAAAGATGAAATGAGATTAATGTCAGTCTGTATATCAGAATTACAAACCTGTCTGAATATATTCATCTTAGTACATGCTTATTATCACAAAGTAACATATCAAGGTACTCCTTAAGTTAGATTCCACTTCACACAAAACAAAGCCTCAATTAGGCTTGCTGTCTTTGGTCTGACCTCTCTAAATGAAGTAGAGTTTACCCACTAAATAATGCAAGCACAAATTATTTGTTAAAAAAAATTAATCAGTATCTTTTCAAAACCATGGAAAAGTATGTACAAAAGTACTCAAGGAGAAGTAGTCAAGGAAAAATATACGAAAGAATAACACATCACTGGAAATTCACAGACAAGGCATGAATTCACAGGCAAGGCATAACTACTATGTTAATAGCTCTCTTAAAATAATTTAATCAACCATTTTTAATTAAGTATTTTAAAAACATATGCTTGCTTCTGTTTTTATATTTATGTATGTGTTTACATACTGTGCATTTAACCTAAACATTTTTCAGTGCATTGTCAGAGCCACAAGCTTTTCTCCAAAGCAGATGGGAGACAAAAATCACATTTATTCTTTTGTTAACATTTGCACAAGTGCTATATTAAAAAAAAAGTTGCAAACAATAGGCTTCCAAAGTTTATGTATGCTTCAATCTGCACTCAAGATTTAAGTTTGTTTCGCAAAATTATTTTCACAACTTTACTTAACATTTTCTAAACAGAAGTTACAAAACAAATATGCCCACTTGGTACCACAGTGACTAATGTATGCTTGACTTGATTGCTTGCAAATGCAGAGACTTAACGTGGCTTGAAATGAAAGCAGCTTTGAACAAAAAGAATGTAGGTGAGTCTGAAACTACAAAATAAAGCTTGTAATTCCTTTAAAAAATACTAACCTGTTTTCTGAACTAGATGTAGAAGTACTAGATGATGACAATGTATGAGAATTTGACATGCGTGAGACAAACTTCTGGATGGTGTTACGAGATGGAGCTTTGATCCTCGAGCTACGCCTACTGTGATATTTCTGGAACAAACTCTCAACCTAACATCAGAAAAAGATAGCAACAGTCTTATTTATGCTATGAATATCTTGTAATTAAAAGTCATATTAACGAAGTGTAAACTACTGCTAACAGGAAAAATCTATTCACCTTCACATTAATGCGTTAGCAGTCGTGGCAACAATTTCACAAGTCTTACTACTAAAAAGATCACAAGAAACATTTTACACCAAAAACTTATCTGCTTATTGAAAATAAATAACAGCTTAAAGTATACACACAATTACTTCAAAATACCCACATTTTTTCTTCCTTTTAACAAATCAGTGAGACAGATCTATAAATCTTAATAGAAAATCCCATGAGTTGAATTACTCATCAAACTACAGCTCTCTACTATTTATACAGTTATGTCTTACATTTGCAGGTAATTTTTTCCACTTACAGAACTCCTGAGACTGAATTAAAGATATAATTATAAACATATATTTTTGTTACTTTGAAATCTAACAGTTTTCAGCATGTTTCAGAGAGTGTCCTGAAGACATTATGGAGTCTATTCTAGATCATCATTACATCTATCAGAAATTGATTACCTCAAAGTTCTTCAGCGTCTTTCTCCACAGCATTGGGTCTGAGGGTTCAAGCTGAAAGACCCTCAGCATAACAAACAGCAGATGAATACAAAATGTCCCACGGCCGCAGCTACAAGTCTGCAAAGAAAAGAATATCCTATGGTTCTACTGACTTGACAATTTTTCCACATTTAAGTGTATCATAGAACATACCCATCCCCTCAACAAAAGTAAGTGCTTCATATATAGGCATAAATGTTCTCTTGCATAACCTTACAAAAACAGAGAATTCCTAAAATATTATTAAGAAATGCAAACATGAATGCATAAAATTACGACACCAGTTTTCAATTTATTTTCTTCCCCCGCCCCCCTTTTTTTTTTAATCAACTGCTGCTTTTTTTAATCAATAGCTGCTTCATACTGGAAGTATGACATCACAAGATGACACCAACCAAACTTAAATGACATGCTTCTGTTCACCCAAACCTGGATGTGTCCCAGTACTGCATCACATTAGTACCAAGACAACCTATGAAAGTTATCTCAATTATGGGTATGAATGAAATTATCACACTATTAAGAGAATTATGTGTTTGTAATTTATACACATTTCATGAATAGGGGAATTAACTGGTCAAATTTCAGCGAAGAATATCTAAGGCATATAATTCAGAGCCACTTCTAAGAAGGAGTTTTTTTCTTTTAAAAGACTCATTCTCTTTTAAAAAAGAGAAAATGTAGACAAATGTAATTTGCAAATTACAAACCAATTTTGGTATTGCATGAGTACAGATTAGAATTTTTAAACATTAATTTATAGAATAGCGATCATCAATTGAACAAATCTGGCTTTGGACAGTTTTCTGAAGTTAACTATGAATTGATAAAAGCTATAAGACAGAGATGTTCCTACCTGAGGCCCAATAAACACTCTGTATTTATTATCAGGGCTGTCGCCTCCAATTAAGAAAGAGTTGGGTCCTATCTGCTGCAGCAAGTACAGCCTGGCTCGCATCACTTTGTTGACTCGGCGATTTGTCTCCTCAGGGCTGTACGGAGAGAAGCCATCTGGAGATGGGGCTCGTCGAGGCGGCGTTATCCGTCCGCTCTGAAACTACACAATGCCTCCGTCATGAGCAGCCAAAGGACAGAAAAATGTTTAAATAGGTATGGTTTGTTTATTTATTCACAGAGTAAGCGTCCCCAAAACCTGGAAGTACTACAATCTGTTCAACTATATGATTTAAAAGGATTACTTTTCTCCCATGCCCTGTAGCCAAGGTCAGAAGAAAACTGAAATTCTGCAGCTGAAACTTGTCTGACATCGGGACACAAAAGGAGTCTTTCAAATTGCTTCTTATTTTCATGTTGTCATATGTTGCCTTACCATATTACTACTGAACTATCAATTGCAGAAGATAATAAGGGACTTATTACTCAATAAAGATTATTCTATATAGCTGTAACTATATAGAATCTATTTCCTAAATGAAAAAATGCTATGACTGCAGGTTAAAAAAGGGAATATAACTTCAAGATCAAAAGTTTAAGAAATTTCCAAAGGAAAATAAAAAAGATACAGCTTGCTCCCTTTTCCACCAATTAAGCAACTTTTAGATGAGGATGCTTTAGCGTTTTTTTAATATTGTTTCCCCATAATCAAAAAGTAAATGGCCCAAACATTTTGGGAAGATTGTCTTCATTAAAGTTGCTCACATTTCTCACATTATGAGATGCACTAACGGTTCCATCCCATTTCAGATCTTCTGCTTTTATTTGTATGCATTGAATTTCATGTTAGGATGAAAGTAATAATGAATTCACTGTCCATCATATAAGTAAAATATAAACTGGATTTTAATGTTTTTAATGTGAAAAGTTAATATAAAACAAAACCCCCAAACAAGTAAAAATAGTTGTTTTCTCTTTTTTAACCTTTCAACTTCTCTTGTCAAGAGGAAAGGACCAGTGCTGCTGTCCCGTAACTTCTGATACTTATCTCTAGTTCAGGAGACTGACAGTACATTTTTTAACTGATACTGGAAAAACTTGTTTAGAAAATGGGAAAATAAAACCAATTAGATCTTATTTATCCTCTAATTGCATTGTGAATTGCACTGTGAATTTAACTGTTGATGAGCCTTCTTACAACAAGCTAGAGTGTTAGATATTATTGCTCAAAATATACTCTTTGTCTTTTTTAATTAAGCCAGTTACTCTTGCTCAAAACATTCTATTCTAGATGTTCTCTAGAATGCAGTGATAGTAAGTGTAGACTTCTAACAAAGTACATATATGAAGTCTTCCCTAATCTGTACATAAAGGTAAGCTCTGAAATAGAGGATCACTAGAGCATACCAGTAAGACTTTTCTACAGGAATTTTCATCTCATCCACAGTCCCATCCTTAATGGAATATACCTGCACAGAGAACTGACAGGCAGGAGACACTGACTAGTTATTTAAAAAAAAACACAAGAAAAAAAACTCCCACGAACGAACCAAAAAACCAAACCAAACAAAACAACAACAAAAAACCCCCTCACCAACAAAAAAAACTACCAGTAATTCTTCATGCTAATCAAGCTAAGAAAACATACATGTATTCATGATTGAGTACCTATATTTCTTTGTTTATTTCCTAGCAAATGAAAGCAGGACTGCAGGAAAAAGAAAAACACACATGAGAAATACCATATGAGATATATAGGTCATTCAAGTGATATTCTGTAATAACCTCCTCATATCAGAATCTTGCTCTACAGAGGGAGGACCTACTGCCCCTATAAGCAAGACTGTAGAATATAGCCAAACTGAAAATTACATCACAGCTTGCAACTTACAGGCACTGGAGATACCCTTTTTCTTCTAACACCTGGTGACTCAGATTTAACTGTCCTAGCAGATGATGAAGAGGAACTGCTAGGAGAAGGACTACGTCTTCCTTTTTGCGTAGGTGAAGAAGCAGTGCTGTGTCCTTCAGCTTGAGGATCTAGACAGAGTTTGTTCATTTCTGATCCATCTACTTTTCCAGGGATAGGTTTCACCACCTTGCAGGAATTAAACGAGATGTTAAAATTATTAATTGGTAATTTCATATTAAAGCAAAGCAAATTAATCAATAATTCCTTTGTTGTAATTAAGCTATCATATGGACATCCAAATACTTCTTAGGCCATACTACTAACATTTGAGAGGAATTAGCTTAATGATCTATATGCAACACAAAAGCAAGAACCTTTATTCCTGTCAATTTGTGCAGCTTATATTAGTTATGGCAGCAACTGATTTGATTCTCAAAGTACTCCTGTAACTACCATTCATGATACCTAAAAAACCAGCTGTTTCACCATTCGCATAGTAGAAGCCAAAATAATTTTCTTCTCTACAGGTACTGCTCTTATTAAGAGCTACAATACTGGATCCATGCATACCACATGGTACCAGCTGGAAAAAATACTAGGGCTACTATTTCTTTAACATAACACTATGCAAAACAAAGACTTCAAACATGGAGGTACTCCAGCAAAATTAAGTATCCCATTCTTTGTAAAAACCATGTCCAGGTTTTTTTGTCTGCCATACAAGCAAAAGAGCTACACCACATCCAGTATCTGAGCTAACCACTATGCATGGTGGACACAGGGAGAGCTCAAGCAAAAGGAGCACATACAGAGTAGTGCTTTGTTGCATCAACACTAAATTTTGACATTGAGAATTGGAATATTTCAAGACATTATTTCAGCTTTCTGCCAGCCAGACCCACAGAACGCATAAGAAGAGTAATGTCCCTGGGAATCAAATTAAAAACAGTCACAATGGGAAGATTCAGTTTTAGTTCTTCATTTCTCAATGTCTCAGAGGCTTGACTCAACACTGGAAGGAAGTTCCAAGCAACAACTCAGATAAACAGAGCACATATCTCCTAGAAAGTTCCAGAAGTCTCTTTAAGACAAAAACTGAAAGGGGCTTTCCAACCTCAGGATAATAAGAGATATCTAGACTCAGTGCCCAGTTACAAAAGCAAACAGGATAGAAGAGAAATATAAAGAGCAATGAAAACCCTCTTTTCCCTCCTATCAATTAATGCAGTAATGCCTCTCCTTGCCTGGAAGATCAAAATGAAAATTCATGTACCTATGGACAAAGTACTTGTGTTAAAAACATCACAAGTGTCAAATTATAGTACCTGAGAATCTAGAGCACCAAATCTTGTATTAACACACCCACAAACCTCAAGGGAAGTGAGCTGAGCAGAGAAATAATTTCAAGCTATTCAGTAACCCAAAAGCATTTAAATTTTTAAAGTTAAAATTGTGTTATTTGAACCTTTGAGGTAATGGGGTTCGGTGCACTTTTAAGTATTTTCAACATTATTTCTCACAATAGAACCAACAGAACCTTCTTATTTCTGTTCCAGAGAAGCTGTCCCCAAACACTTGCCTACTGCATCAGATGATCTTAACTTTACATTAGTGGTACATGGGAGTCATATCAACCAACTATGTTCATAGGTAAGTAATGGGTATTAATTAACCAACATTATACTGAGTAGAATTGGAACTACTCCTAAAGTACTCCAGGTTTGATCCACCTACGTTTTTTAAAAGCCATTTATGCCAAAGCAAGATCCAAAAGGCTAAGAGAACACTGCCATGCAAACCTCATGAGAGCTGACAGCTGGCAGAAGGAACAGCAGAGTTTGTGTTTGCTCCAGGTTGCAGGAGGTTTTTACTCTCGGTCGCTGGAGGGCAGCAGCGCCGCAGCCGTGCGGGACGCTCAGAGAGCAGCGCCGCGATAACGCCTTGGCTTAAAAACAAACAAACAGCAACAACCGCGGACGCTGCTCTCAGCCAGCCCCGCTGCCCTATAAACACCGCGCAGGACACGGACACGAGCACCACAACTAAGAGCAGAGAAATTGTAAAGAAAAAAAAGGTTTCTAATAGAAAGAAATTTAAGAGACTTTTATTTGTAATAGCTGCTACAGATACTGTCCTTCCATCAGTGCCACATACCACAGGGCCTCTTCTGCTTCTTCTTTCCAGCCATTCATGCTTCCAGGCTGGCATACATGTTGCCTTAAGTTTCTCCCTGATCATGCGCTCTTCTGGGCGGTCATCCATCTTCTGCAACCCCCTAAGGGTTTCTTTATTCTCCATGTCACGACTACAGCAAAGAAAAAAGTCATAAACACAATTAATTTCAGTTGAAGTATAATGTCACTGCATTCTTAAACTTTGTGCCACCCTATTCTCCCTCTCCTTACAATGCAGCTGCTAAAACATTATTTCCACCAGACCACAAGAAGCCTTTTAAGAGTTACAACTAATCTCTTCTGCCATTTGAAGCAGAATACCTGTTTAGCGGAATATTCTTCAAAATGTGCGCACTGCTTGTAGCACTGAACACCCAGTAAAAACGAAGATCTTGGCAAATACAAAACCAATACAAAAATTACCCTCTATGTAATGTCAAGCCATTCAGCAAAGGCTTCACAAATGTTGCAATGGCTCATACATTTCTTTCTCCGTTTAAAAATAATTTACAAAATTAATATAAAGACGAAAAATTCCCATAATCATAGGATGCACAAGCATAAAACTATGTACCTAGTGCCTCTTCATATATTAACTCTGCTCAAAAACAGAGAACTCATAAACTAACACACAGTAAGTACCAGAGAATCATAAAATGGCCTGGGTTGGAAGAACTCCTGAAGATCATCTAGCTGTGACCCCCTCACTGTGGGCAGGGACACCTCCCACTAGACCAGGCTGCTCTATCCAACCTGGCCTAAACCATATTTAAACTAGACACAGAGGTCACAAAATTAAGGCTGGTGGCCTTGTGAGTAATGACTCAAGAGCTCTTAAAATCAGTAAGAGCAAAATACAGTAAGAGCAAAAATTCACAGCAAGTTCATATGTGTAAAATGAAAATTTAATCCATCTGGGCTTATACTTTTTCACCTACAGCAGAGTAGTTCTTTGTGATTGCTGGCAACAACAAAAAGGCAAGAAATTACTGTCAGACACTGAAAAACAAATATGAACAGTCTGGAAGATTTCCTGATTCTGCTGAGCTATCTGCTAAATCACCAAGAAAACCACATTCTTAAGCAGCAGCACATGATCCCCACCCATCTTCTTGAAGCCAATGCTCTTTCAAAATAAGCAAGCTTGATTCAGCCAACTGTCAGAATGGGATTTTATTCTAAAAATAAAATCACAACTTAAAAAGAGAGTATATAATAATTAGGCTACAAGCACTGCTTTCTTCCATGCAATCTCAGCTTCTAAAACATTTAACCGTGCAGTCACAACTGCATTTGTGTATGATGACCTAAAAATATATCCCCTGCAATATTCATTGCAATAAAATCATGTGAAAATTACAATTCCTATCTTTAGCAGTATTGTATTACTGAGGTAATTTATCACAAATAAACATGCTTTAAAGAAAATGAGATGTTTTTGCAGGTCAGAAGGAGAGTACTGTTGTTTTTTTTCTTCTCTTATTGTAGAGACAAAGGAAAAAAAGGATTCTGAGGCAGGAAATAATACTTCCTGTTCAGTGCTGAAACGTAATAAGCAGATGGACACTGTAAAGAAAATATATTTTCTTTCAGGCTAACTTCTAAACCTACTGTTAATAACTGATTTTAGATATGCGGAACTGTGTGATTCTACTGATTAAGGACTTAAAAATGTTAATAAGTAGAAACAAAATCCACCTAAGAATGAATGCTTTTTCAGAGGTAAAGCATTCATTTTTATGAATGCTTCATTTTAAAAGTAATGCAAGTGAATTCCAGAACACTGCCTTCTAGATACAGACACAAAAGTAGTGATAATTAATGAAAACCAAAGATATTATAGCAGTAGGTAGAACTCAAAAGAAAAACATCCTGAAAATTTCAAATGCAGAAGAAACTACTGCATAAAGATTCATCTTTAAATTTTTTCCTCAGTGAAAAAAATCTGTTCAAGGACAGAAAATATTTTATATGAACACAGTTCTTAAGTAATATAGGCACAAGTTAAAACATCATTATTTTTATAATAGTTACTTCATGGCATGAACCATCTCAGTTGCATGAATACTTCATGTACTAGACAGAAAACACCAGCAGTGAAAGAACGACACAGTATTTCATTTGTTCATATAACCATGATTAACTTCCAAACTGATACAAAAAAAGTCTTTTAGAGGCCCTTGGACTTGAATTCATGAACAATGTAATACAACAGTAGAGGCTTTACAATCTCTGCTTGTTCTCTAAAAAGCAGAAGCAGCTATCTTCCTCTCATGTGACAGCTAAACCGATCTACTCTTTTCTGCACAAAGAACTCTTGTGCTTTCTCTACACGCAGGTGGGAAAGACCAACTGTGTCTGAAAGCTTTTGCTTAGTAGATCAGTTATCTCAGTTATGCAGAATTTAAGCTGTATGTATATCCATATGTATTTCTTTTTATTTATGGAGCACAACTTCTTAAGTGATCAAAACAACTTCATCTTTTATATTTTAAATCAAGCCTTGGCTAAAATATTCATTAGAATATTTGTACCTGCTCGGTCTGTAGAAAAAATATTTTTCCTGTGACTGCACCAAACTCCTACATACTGCAAGACACCCTCACCTTGTGACCCTGAACCTACACGTTTTTTGTTTTGTTGTTTTTTGGTGGTTTTTTTTGTTTGTTTGTTTGTTTTACATCTTAAGCAAACTCCTTCATCTATTCCAGGCAAGCTAATGTTTTTCTACACAGCAATGTCTAGATTGCCAGTGTCAGATCACTGTACCTCAGCACAAAATAAAAACAAGAGATCCAGAACATATTCCACCAAGGACTTCATCCTGCAGGGTACAGAGTATTTTAATCTTCACAGAGCAGCGCCTATTTGTGATAGCCACACACTTAAGTGATTCTCAGGTAGTGTTTAATTTGAATCACAGTACAATGCTAATGAGCAAGCTAAAAACATGAGAGAACATGCTTGAGCCAGGAGAGCCTTACATTTCTCAACAGCTCACCCTTGTGCTTCATTAGGAAGCAAGGGTTTTGCTCTTAAATGTTTCAGCTTCTCATGAGTAAAAGAAAAAAAAGATAAAAGGCACTTTTTTTCCAATAAATTTTAACTTTTTAACTTTGCCTCCCTCCCCGAACTCCAAGTATCTTCTAAATACTTTGTATTGATATTTTCAAACCAACAGACAACATCTCCTGTATTAATAGTCAAGAAATTCCAAAGAAATGGGTCTAAACTGAGTTCTGGAGTACTGAGCAAGGTCAATACTGTGATGAATACTGGAGTTTAATGCATAAGATCACTGATATACACTTAAACAATTCCATTATTAACTGTGGATTATTTGCTTCATGAACTACAAAACTAAATACAGTAAGATTAACACACTGCATGGAAACAATCACTCCCACATCTTACGGACCAGAGAAAGTTAAATGTCTTTCATTTCTGTCTTAATTTTGAAGATGTGCAAGCAGCAATTGAGTAGCTAGATCATTAACAACTTGTTTTCTATGGATCAATGACTCAGTATTTTATACTGAGGTACGCATTACACATGCTATTTTAGTGAACTATGGTAAAGTACATGAGCAAACTTTACTTCTAACAGCTTAGTGAATTCACTACTAATTCTCTGCAAGTATTTTTCTTACAAAAGTATATAATGGCATATGAAAGCTCAACTGTAGCTCCAGTTCATTTGCCAATTGTACACTTCATTGTACTTCTCAACAATTAGATGTCTTGGCTTCTCTGCTATCTTGTATGGGTAAAAAAAAGCTTTATCCAATAGCCAGAATGGACACAATTTATTAACAGCAGGAAGAAAGAAAAAACGCAAGCTCTGGAAGAGAAGTCAATTCACCAAGAAAGGGAAAGGAAGTTCTATATGTTGTATCTGCAAGTATCCAGTCATAGCAAGGAGAAAAATTATTAGTTGCTGAGTTGTTTGTTGATTTTTTTTAAAACATTTGTCTGAAGCAAATTAGAAAAAGTAACTTGCATATGAGCAGTGGTCAAACCATGGGGAACCAGAAGAAACATGAATAGAAGTAGTCACAAAACAGCTATGTCAGAACAATCAATGGAGTTACTAAGAGGTTCCATGGAAGAGCACTGGATGAGAAAGAACACATACAGCAGACATTTTATAATCTGTCCAATGAAAATGCTATCTATTATAACAATCAAAAATAGAAGTGACCTTAGATGAGATATAAAGATCTCATTTTGAGGATCTTAAGCAAGAACTAAGAATATGGTCATTGCTAAATGCAATCCAAGCCTCAACAGGTCCCAAGAACACCAGGCTGTTGGTCAGGGTGCCAGGAGGCATGGCACATAGGAGCAGTGCTCAATGTGAAGAACAGGGACAAAAGATTTAGCCATTCCCTGAACTGAGGAGGTCAGCTACTAATATGTTAGATAACTTCCTGCCACATTTCCAGCACTGCTCACAGTTTCTCTTTTGCCATTAAGTACTTCTAATGAAAAAAGATTAGTAAATAAGAAACAGAGCAAGATGGACAAGCCATGGTCTGACCTCCTGACAAGTCTCCTGTTCCTTCTCCTGGTGATTTGCCACTGCTGATATCTATCATCTAACTACATGTCCATACTAAGAATACAAAAGGTATGGCACATACTATGAAAATCTTCACAGAGAACTTTCTCATGCTGGTAATAAACGACAGCAACTGCCACTTAACAACAGAATTGAATGCGCTACTTCCTAGAGACAAAGGTACTTGGCTTCCTAGAATAGTTACAGACACTTTAGCTGGATGTTATAGAAGTGTGAAATTTAATTGTATTCTGTTAAGAGTACTCCCTCGAAGGCTGGTATGTTAAAAGGCACAATTGTCAAAGAGAGTATTTCACTGCTAATAGGACAATATTCACAATCAAAGCTCTAACTACACAGACTGAGCCATCCCCTTCAGTGGAACCTCACAGGCCCTGGTCAGGAAGGATCATCCTTCCTCTGAGCCTCAGTGATGAAGACTCAAAACTCCAAAGATGGATGTCAAAACATACAGAGGTAGATTTCCTGCACAGGTTTTCTAGCTCCTATGAAGTAAAATTCACCTATATAAAACATTTGTTTTATTTCTTGCTCTGAAACCACCTAGCT